TTTGGGACTTATCAGAAAAGCAAAATGACTGAAAGGCAGCCATCTTGGATTTCGACTTTGAAAGTTTGTTATTGCTATTGCTTGAGAAGTACTGGATGGATCTTTCTTAAATTTCATATGTAGGTCCAAATTGGTTGTGCTCATTTGATTTTGGGTTCTAATGAAACAAAACAAAATGGCTGACAGACGGCCATCTTGTATAGTTAACTTTGAAAGAATGTTATTGCTATTTCATGAGATGTACTTGAAAGATATTTCTTAAATTTCATATGTAGGTTCAAATGGGTTGTGTCAATTGTTTTTTTGGTCTGATCAAAGAAACAAAATGTAGCATAAGATTGCGATTGGTTCTACACAATTTGTTTCAGTCACAAACTTATAGTACCCGTAAAATCCAGTTTATGGCCTCTTGTACTGGTATTACATTTTTTTCCCCATTCTGCCAATGTTTTGGTTTGGCAGTACTGGCATATAAGCAGCACACTCGACTCACAAGGAAACATTTGTCATTACCTAAATTACGCACTTGAGGGATCACAAATCCAATATTAAAATGTTATTTTATATATATATCTGTGAATGATGCAGTATACTTAATACAAGGTGCCTTAATTTTCCACCAGAATATCTAATGTAAGCTTTTCGTTTTGTGTAAAAATATAAGTTTTGAAAGATATTAATTAATGAATGGCATTGATTGGAATTCATTAATTTGATCAATTTTGATTTGATTTAAAAATAAATGTTTTGAAGTCCGGTGTGTATAAGCAAGGTGATAATTGTATTGATAAGTCTTGTACTCTGATTTGCTAATTAATCTTACATAACTTACACTAATTAAAGATTTAAAGGAAGATAACTTTAACATAAATCACGGCAGCAAAGGACTCTGTTTTTGCATCTTTATTCGAGAAACACAAATTTCGTAAATGTTGTTGCTGAATGTAGGACAAGCTGAATTCTTGATAAAATGGTGATTCATAATAGAATGTTTTGACTTCAGTTTGAAAATATAGAGTTCAACACGTACTTTTGCAATGGACCAAGTGTTACATATCTATGTTACTGTATATCAGAAAGAGATCTGAAATTTACCAAGTTGACATGCTAAAAGAATTTTATCTTTATAGTTCGTCTTGTAAATACTGTTTAGAAAATGATAAAAAACGATATCTTACAGACCTTCAAAGTATATTTTATGTGTTCGTTGTGTAACAAAATTAAATATATATTATTAAATGTAATGAAGCAGTGCTTGCTATGTACCTGGAGTTGGAGAGAACAAAGAGATTTAAAAAAACATTCAAACTTTGTTTCTGATTTAGCCATCTTCAGTTTTTCATTGAAGAAATGGACATCAATTTTTATCTTTCATATTTGCGTTCTGAATAATGGTGAAAACTAACGAACCTCTGGAAATTTGACTGTACAGTGGATGTACATTTGGAAAATTGCCGCGATAGCTCAGTCCGTTAAAATGTTGATCTTCACGTAACCTCAGGGGAAGATCCGAGGACAGTAATTCAAAGCCTTACCTGTAGCCATTTGTGTTTTTCAGGAAACTTTGCGAAACAGACCAGTCTGTGCTAATGTGGTGTCATTTGGTAAGACACTTTAGCCAAATTGCTCTTGATAGCATGTGACGGGCCGCCTGTATGGTTTTCAGTGAGGTAGTTCCTGCTACTTTAAGGAAAACTCAGCTCGATATGACACTGGTTGTTCACAAACGATAAAAACTCAGTAGATGGCATTTTTGTATACAGTTTCATTACAATTCCTGCTACCTCTCCATACATACGTAGTATTATAAATATCGCATTTATTGATCTTAAAACCAGCTTTTTATTCGACCAGCTGGGTTCTGCAGTGCAATATCCGTTCAAACCTCCAGTCCAGTTTTGTCTGGCATGCCTTCATGTTAATAATTTGGTTCAGATGGTGACAAAATAACAATGTATTAGAGTATGCAGCTTTCTGACATCTGCAGGGCACGATTTTACGAGAATCTTGTAATCATCGATCAATAAGGACATGGAATTACTACAACCATACCACAAACATGGTTATCAAAGAATTTTTCGATTACATGGTTAATATTTCACACCCGTACACGGATCAATTTTCTTGGTCCTTATTCTAAACTACAAATACCAAACCAAACCTTTTTCATATGAATTCTAGAATATGGGTTTTGATGCATTATTTGTAAATTGAACAAATCACCAAATAAAATCAGTTATCATTTCTGCATGCATCACACAAGGATACGATTCCCAACTGTGGGTCAAAACAGAACTTTAAATTTAATTTTTGCCATTAGCTTTCCCACATTGTACACTTTTTCAGCTGTTTCTATTTCTTTGTCAGAATGAATGTTTTATCTTCTCAAATCGATAACTGGCAGAGTTTGTAAAGTACTTTCTGAGTGTAGAACACAAATGAAGAATGTGGCTCCAGACATGTATTGGATCTGTATTGTGTTCAGAATTTCAGGCTTTGCTGAACATTGTCTTACCATATTTGGGAGCAGAAATGGAAATATATATTTATAGAACTGGACAAGTTTATGTGTAGACTGTATGGGTTTTTTTTAGGATATTTTGTCTTTGCGGCAAATATTGTAGCAAAATATTGCAAATACAGCATGGATAAGGCATGGAGTGGTTTTACTAGAGTATGAATGATTGTGTAAGACAGATGTGGTTTGACGGTAAGGTTTTCTGTACTTTAAAGAAAATCAGCATCAATATTTAGTCTTAGATTTATGAGTGGAGTATATGTATACATTGTAAATGATGGAGACATGGTTTCATCCTCTCTCCTTAATCCACAAGGTGAGTCCATTATGACAGCATGTATATCATTGTGAAATATATATACAAATGCGTTGCTACCTTAATGCAAATATACACAGGTGCATTTATACATAGTCACAAAACGAAGCAAGTTATTTGCCAAGTTACTTTAATTTCTTTCCAGCATTTCATAGGCTGCTCCATGCATCCTGAATTCATTCCTTTTACCATAAAACATGCTTGGTTAGGCACTTTTTATACCACACAACATGTCTGTCATACGAGTCACTGCTGTATAGAGATGATATACATGTTCTGAAAGATACAGGATAATGATATTATCCAATTGAATATCTTTCACAAGTATCACAGAATACTGATATTTTTTACAAATTTTTTTATTTATTTATTTTTTTTTTTTTTGAAATTTGGTGTGTTGTATTGGTCCTGTCCTAGCTATAAACAGCCTAGTTAAAAGGATTATCAATGAAAACATTGAATTTTCTTTTTGTTACATTTCCTAATGAATAGTATAGAAAAAAATGTTTCTTCATCCAAAAATCGCTGAATCAATGGCAGAATTAATTTAGAAAATTGATGGCCAAGACAGCACCATTTTGAGAGAAATGTGTTCTACCATTTTATTTTGGTCTATTGATTGTTAGAAATGAATTGCCATACTGCTTCTACATCTAAAATTAAGTGAAAATGGTGTACATCATGTACTATATTCTGTCCTTTCATCGAGTTATCTGCCCTTGTGTAATTGAGTGATTTCTTTAGATTCCGCAAATTTAGGTTCTACTGAAGTTTATTCTGTCCTTTCGTAGAGTTATCTGCCCTTGTGTAATTAAGCAATTACTTTAGATTCCACATATTTAGGTTCTACTGATGTATATTATGTCCTTTTGTAGAGTTATCTGCCCTTGTGAGTTGGTATTGATTGTTAGGTCATATGTTAAAAGTAACGTCATAGATTTGTGTGAAAATGACAATCAAAAGCAGCTATCTCTGCATTACGAAAAGGTGGAATATGAGTGTATGAAAGTCAAAATAGTGTTTCTTCTTTTGTTATAATGGAAAAGTTCCTAGAAGAAATAAAACAGTAACATGATTGGTTAATTTTGGTCAACAGAAAACATTGAGGGTCACCAAAGGTGACGTCCCCTTAAATTCTCACTAACCCTCAAGCTATTTGTGTTGACCACTTGATTGCGACAGTAACTACAAAATATATGCAATTAATAAGGATGTACGATTCTGTATACAGTATGTGTATATATAATAATAATTTTTGAAATACCAACAAAGGAACATATATTTACATAAAATAGCAATCTATTCAACTATCCCAATGGATGACCGCACAAAAACAGTTCTAAAAAAAAAAAATGAAATAGAAACCTTCACATCCATCAAAGAAAAAAAAATTCCTTTATATATTATCAGAATCACTATACAATGCAATATGCTATTATGAGGAATTTGCTGACACAAAAGATTTCACAGATTCTTGGAATAACTCTGTATATACTTACAGCTTGTAGTGTTCAGCATTCAAATAATCCATACAATGGCTGTGTTTTTAAATTGTGTCAGAAGTGTTGATTTTGTCTCTCCATCTATGGAATTTTCCAAGTCTGATTTAGAAAGAAAAATCATTAGCCTTGTTGAGTTACTAATTTGAATTTATTAGTTTTATCATATGGGATTACATGTAATTATCAAAATGTTGTTTTACAGAGAAAATATCAATACAATTTTAAGTTATTTATTTCTATCACAGAGAGTGGCAGTGATTATCAGTATTAAGTTTAAAAGAAAGGATTTTTTTTTCTCACAAAATGTTTAGGGTTTTTTAGGCTAGAGATCTCATAACTTTACGTTTGAATTTAAGGTTATGCACCAAAATACAGCATGTTTGAAAGATTTGGTGTATTGTAAGCAAGGGTTAGCTCGGTTACGAGAAACACAAATACATGTCTTCTAGCATTTGCCTAACTTCAAAAAAGATGCTTCAAGGCACAGTTTGTGGGAGGAATTTCATTGCATGATTTTGTTTTCAGGATAATGAAAGCTGATTGTTCTAGACGAGAACCTATTAGCAAAAGTCAGTAAAACCAAATTAGATTCATTAGGAATTTTATCACAAATAAAGTTCTGATGTTAGCGTGTTTTACAAATGTGATATTATGTTTGTTTCAGACGAACACTTACAGGTACTGACGACGAGACGGGGTGTGTGGTGCCGGCGGTTCCATCAGTATATATGCCAGATGCATGACAAAATGGTGAGTTTTATATATCGATTCGTCTACTTCTGGATTCATCCCCTGCTCAGCTGGAAATATCTCTTATTAAGCAATTCTTATTTTGTTGCAGCCATTATGTATATTAAGAGAAAAAGATAGAATAGAGAGAGAGGGAGAGATAGAGAGATGGAGCAATAGAGAGAGAGAGAGAGAAAGATAGAGAGAGGAAGAGATAGAGGGAAGGAGAAATAGAGAGAAAGAGAGAGAGGGAGCGATAGAGAGAGAGAGAGGGAGAGATAGAGAGAGAGAGCAAGAGAGAGGGAGAGAGAGGGAGAGAAAGAGAGAGGGAGAGATAGAGAGAGAGAGCAAGAGAGAGAGAGAGAGAGAGAGCAAGAGATAGAGAAAGAGAGGGTGAGTAGTGATAAAATAGCAGAAACTTTCAAATAAATTTTCTAGAAACAGCAGCTGTTTCATTTCCTTGTTTTGTACATGCAAAGCAAAGATTTTTATCAAAAAATATTTGGAATTTATAGATGAGAAATACATATGTGCTCTTGTACATATCCATGGTTGGTAGTCCTGATAATATGGTATAAAATGTAGGTAGTTTAGCTTATAGAAGATAGACCATGTGGCTGTAAAGACACAATTAACAAGAAAACACCGAGATTTGCAGTTTCGATTTTTTACGGAATTTCACATAAACTGTGTATTAGTTTTTAATAACACAGCTAGTGTATTGGTCTGTCTGTCATGTTATTTGTAACATGCATCTGGTACACTTGTATTGTGTACTGTGCTGTAAGTAGCAACATGTGCAAAATTTATGAAAATATGTAGAAATGCACTTCAATTGACTTTTATATAGTATTAGTAGTACTATAAACCATGGCCAGGTGTCATCGTTTTTATTGTTTAAGTTTATCCTACATCAGCAAATAAGCTTCATAAGTCTCATATTTAGTTTAGATTTATCGTTTTATGTGACATTTGAAATAAAAAGAAAAAGGATAAAAATGAAACAAACAAACAAATCGAATGTAAAACAAAAAAATACAACTTGTGTTTGATTCATATGTAGAACTATCTCAGCCTTTGTTAATTGAAAACGCTTTTTAACTCCAAGTTTTTCTCTAGTCCTGGTCAAATTCATTTCTAAGGTAATGATTAACTCTCACAATTTGAAAATTTTCATGAACTGACTTTGAGATAACAAAGTTTGACTTCATGACCTTTGCCATTTTACATCCTCACAGCTACAAATTAATCACATTGATGAGGTGTTGATACGGAGACTCACCAATGGTTGTGAAGGGGTGAAATTAAAGTACCATCATACCAACTTGCCATATCCTGTAGGCCTTGACACAATACATACTTGGTCACCTTAACTACCCAGTCACCTTATTTACATGAACAACAAGACTTATCAGTTCTTATATGACAACATCCCCACCCTACTCCATTTTTTTCCCCAAGTTTTCTATGTCAAGCTAAGAAAAGATTGATCAGGGTAGATAACCAGTATAGTCCTCTCAATACCTGGGAAAAAAACAAGATTTACAGTAAAGTTTTAAAGAAAGAGTAGAGAAAATAAGAAACTTGAGTTTTGCATTTAGCATAGAATCATCTTTTAGGAAGCATATTTTCTTCCTCATTTCCAGATCTGAATGACCACGATTATGAAATGTCAAAAACTATTAAGTGTAAGAGGGAACAACTTAGAAATATCTTAAGAAAAGATGGAAGAACACAATTCAAGGTCATTCGAGATATCAAAAATAATTTTTATCCTGGCTTTATATACATTGTATATCATTTCATATATACTGTCCTCATTATGATGTCATAGGTTTTCGAAGGTGAACATTCTCATTTCAATATTCTTGAATTAAAATGTATTTCACAACAGAGTGAGTAATTGTATAATTAAATTTAAACTCACTGTATATGTAGGATTGTTATTGTGTAGGATCTTGGTAAATTAAATGTCTGTAGATCTTAGTACATATATACCTGTATGTACATTAAATGTCTGTAGATCTTAGTACATATACACCTGTATGTACATTAAATGTCAGTAGATCTTAGTACATATACACCTGTATGTACATTAAATGTCAGTAGATCTTAGTACATATACACCTGTATGTACATTAAATGTCAGTAGATCTTAGTACATATATACCTGTACATGTACATTAAATGTCAGTAGATCTTAGTACATATACACCTGTACATGTACATTAAATGTCAGTAGATCTTAGTACATATACACCTGTATGTACATTAAATGTCAGTAGATCTTAGTACATATGCACCTGTATGTACATTTAATGTCAGTAGATCTTAGTACATATACATTAAATGTCAGTAGATCTTAGTACATATACACCTGTATGTACATTAAATGTCAGTAGATCTTAGTACATATACACCTGTATGTACATTAAATGTCAGTAGATCTTAGTACATATACACATGTATGTACATTAAAAGTCTGTAGTTCTTAGTACATATATACCTGTATGTACATTAAATGTCATTAGATCTTAGTACATGAACAGGTGTACGGTTGAAATCTTATACAAAAAAACTTTTATTATCTGAAAAATGATTCCAAAACATGTTGTGTTAAAGGACTCAAGGTCTTGCTAGGTAAATGAATGCATTTAGCTGAATGACAAAGATTGCGTAATACACAGAAGATTTGCCATGTAGTTGTTTTTGTTGAAAGGTAAAATTGCGGTCATATATAAATAGATTTCAGTTTAGAGATAACTTCTAACTTTTGGCAGAATTTTTTTTCTTTTTCAGAATTTGTCTTTTATTTACCTAGAGGTCATTCTTCAACAATAATTGTTTATTTGATTAGGATTACCCCCCCAGTTATTGTTTATTTTCCAGAAGTGAATGTTTATATAAACATGTACATTTATAGATAATATGCAAATCAGCAGTTTACACGGAAATATATCTGGGTCAAGGTTGACATTTAAAATGACAAATGACCGGGCATATATTTTACTATCATTTAAGAGCTACCAGGACAAAAGCTTTATTCATCTTTGTTGTCATTTTATTGAAGAAGAAATTGCTGACTTGTGATTTTATTTTGTTTTTTATTTTGTTAGTAAAGAATCCTGAGATACACCTTTAATTTATTGTAAAGCTACCTGTACTTATTTACGTAAACAGCCATTTCTATGATAAAATGCTTCAGTATCTCGGTGAAGACTGAAAGCTATTTGCCTAAGCATATTGAGATTACATGATCAATAGATCTACCACTGTGTGTAATTTCTTAGACGTCCTAACGACAGCTCGAATCTTCGGCTGATCCATGAATGTACGTGAATACACACATGGCAGTCTCGACAGACAGATCAATACAGGTTGTAGACACAACTAACGATTTACTAAAATTAGAATGTGCTGTGCACTTGATCTTCATGTGTGAAGATTTGAGCATTATGTATACGTCACACACATATACAAATGATGATCAAACCCGCTATACTGTAAAGCCTACATCATATATATATTTCACAACAGAGCAGAAATGGAGGAATTTTATAAACCCTATATATATACAGTGAAACCTGTGTAATCAGACGCCTGTTGGACACGGATCATAATTAGATCAGATTAGGCAGGATTATATACAGGTTGAACTTGGTAGTTTTCAATAGAAATGGATATAAAGAAAATACATGAAGTCCTTTTATTTATCAAATTTTTTTTTGTCATTTTGCTTAACAGATCTCTTTTAACTTCTTTTGATGTCCTCATATTTCACCATATTCTGCCTACTTTGTACTTTTTGTTTAAGTACTGTAAGTCTGTCTATCAATCAATCAATTAAGCAATCAGTCAATCAGTATAAATTTGATATTAACACTATATTTAGGATAAGATATGTACAGGGTGCCAGAGTACTCGAAGATTGGCTTAATTAGGCAGGTTCTACTGTACGTGCCAATTCTCTTTACATTAGATGAAAGGAGAAAGCATGTTTCAAGGGAGGTTTTGAAGGGCTCAGAGCTGACTTCAGGGACTACGTCCGTTCATCAAGGAGATCTAGACCTCGTTGGTATTCAATGAACCCCCATCCCTTAACCCTTTTGATGTTAACCCTGAAATGCTGGTTCAAAAGTGTTGAAACAGTTGTTAACTATACAGTATAGGCTAGCCATGCTTGTCTAACCTTAACCATGTACAAAAATGTAGTGGTCATTTATACCTCAATGAAATGGTAAAATATAGAAATATTGTGTCTATGATAAAGATGAGGGAATATTACTGTCTTATTTCCTTTTTTGTTTTTGTTTTTTTTTCTTCTTGCGGTAAAGGAACTTTAGATGTGTTTTTTAATTCAATCGAAACTACCTATTTTTGTAAAGCAACAGGAAACAGGGAAAGATTTGAAGTTTATGTTTAAAATTAAACATTGGAAATTGAACATTAAAATATTGAAGTTTATGTTTTAAGTTAAACATCCTTAACTTGCACCTTTGTCAATTGTTTAGATATTTTTGGTTATCAACCTGACTTTGAGACAAAATAAAAATCTTCCCTGGTATGTCATGTAATTAGGTTGACCTATATGGCCATAGATGACCGGAGAATGTAGCCAGAGAAAGCCACTGGTTAATGGAGGCAATGACACCATAAGTTATGTACTTATTTGTATGTAGATATTCACTGTTATAACACTTGTTTTACTAGTGTTGTGGTGTAGTCCACACCAAATCCACTTGGTTGTACTGGCTCATTTCTTCATTTCCAGTGGCATATACTGCGAATGTACAAAATTTTAGCGGTAATCTTGTTTTAGTCCTTTTTGGCAGGGGTTAAATGTAATTTACTAAAATTATTATCACAAAGAATTGTTATGAATCGGATGCCCTTTTTATTATCACAAAGAATTGTTATGAATCGGATGCCCTTTTTATTATCACAAAGAATTGTTATGAATCGGATGCCCTTTTTATTATCACAAAGAATTGTTATGAATCGGATGCCCTTTTTATTATCACAAAGAATTGTTATGAATCGGATGCCCTTTTTATTATCACAAAGAATTGGATTAGGAAGGATGCCCTTATTATTATCAAGAATTTGTTATGATGTCTGGATGCCCTTTTTATGATCACAAAGAATTGTTATGAACAAAGGATGCCATTGTTGTTTATAACAAAGAATTGTTATGTATCATAAGAGTCTTTAAAAATCATGGTAACTCACAAAGAATTGTTATGAATCGTGATGCCCTTTTTATTATCACAAAGAATTGTTATGATATATCGGATGCCTGATTTTTATTATCACAAAGAATTGTTATGAAACAGTCTTTTTTTATTATCACAAAGAATTGTTATGAATCGGATGCCCTTTTTTTATCACAAAGAATTGTTATGAACGGATACCCTTTTATTATCACAAAGAATTGTTATGAATCGGATGCCCTTTTTTTATCACAAAGAATTGTTATGAAACAGATATTCTTTGATTTTATCACAAAGAATTGTTATGAGAAACAGATATTCTTTTATTTTATCACAAAGAATTTTTATGAGAAACAGATATTCTTTTATTATCACAGAATTGTTATGAACTTGAGTTAATTTTATTATCACAAAGAATTGTTATTTGGCCTGATCTGAAACTTGAGTTAATTTTATCACAAACAATTTCTTTGATTTGGCCTGATCTGAAACTTGAGTTAATTTTTCATGAGAAACAGATATTCTTTTATTTGGACTGAGCTGAAACTTGAGTTAATTTTCAAGAGAAACAGATTTCTTTGATTTGGCCTGATCTGAAACTTGAGTTAATTTTGATAAGAAACAGATATTCTTTGATTTGGCCTGTTTATAACTTGAGTTAATTTTTCAGAGAAACAGATATTCTTTTATTTGGACTGAGTGAAACTTGAGTTAATTTTCAATGGATTAAATAGCATAAGTGATTGACTTGGTTTATTTATGCATTAGTTAATTTTCAATGAGAAACAGATATTCTTTGATTTGGCCTTATATGATATATTAATTTTTTGGAAACAGATATTCTTTTATTTTTGAAACTTGAGTTAATTTTCAATGAGAAACAGATATTCTTTGATTTGGCCTGATCTGAAACTTGAGTTAATTTTCAATGAGAAACAGATATTCTTTGATTTGGCCTGATCTGAAACTTGAGTTAATTTTTCATGAGAAACAGATATTCTTTTATTTGGACTGAGCTGAAACTTGAGTTAATTTTCAATGAGAAACAGATATTCTTTGATTTGGCCTGATCTGAAACTTGAGTTAATTTTTCATGAGAAACAGATATTCTTTGATTTGGCCTGATCTGAAACTGTGTGAAAGTTTATGGTATATTTATATACATGTTAATGTTAGACCAGTTTATTGGCATACATGTAATGATCACAGGCTAATATCAGTCAACTCAGCATGTAAACAGTTAAATGACATGTAGTTCAGACAACCATGGTGTTCCTAGTCAAGCCAGGTCACTTTATTTTACCTGTGGGACATACACAGGTAAGTCGCAGTTCAAGTTGAAGCTAAGGTGTTTATATTTGGAATGTCAAATAAATTTCAGTCTTAAGATATTTCAGATTCCACATTCTCAATGGAATCCTGTTCATTACTGTGGTATACATTTGAAATCAAAAGTCACGAGAAACGTTTTTTTCCTTAAGTCAATAATGGATTTAATTGCCACAGTTTTTTCATATGCTTTATTATATATAAACGTACTTGAATATCAGAAGTGAATTTGTCCAAAAAAAAAAAAAATTTCAACCATATATATGAAAAAATAATACATGAATATTTAATTAGGAATACACTGGTATTAGAGGAACATTTTACAAGGGGAACTCTATTACCATGTGAAAGTTACCTCTGGGGTACACAGGTACTATGTAAATGTTGTGGTAATTATACCACAGTTCAAATCAAGCTCTTGATAATTAGGGCACTTGCTTAAAATTTCAAAACCTTTGAAACATTTTTCATCGAGCTGATTTACAATTCGAAAAATACTGCACACTTGTTGTTACAGTAGAAATACGGTTCATAGGCAAGGTAATGTGATATATGTCTGTGTATATAAGTATTTACTTAACATACTAAATCCTCTATCAGTGTGTACAGGATTAGAGAACTAGGCATTTACCAGGTACTTGTCAAGCATGGAAATCATTGGGATATTACTTATATACACTATGATTTCCTGCCAACTGACATTTCTATAAATGTTTTCAATTGAATTTGATGGCCAAGCAAATGCAATTCAGAATGCTGAAATTGACATTTTTGAGAGGACAGTTAAAGAAAAACAAATTTAAAACAGTATAATAAATTACGTTTGTGTGTGTTAAATGAACACTTGAACTTGGGTCCAATATTACATCTCCATAAACAGACAGTGTTTACACATGTATCCTTAGTGAAGTATCTATTGCAGTCAGCTAACACTTTTCGTTACTTAGTACACACCCAGGTCAGATCTAGTGCACACTGTCACCTACATATGCCATATTCATTTGCATGTCATGTACTTAAGTTAAGTTTCTTCCACAGTATTTATAGAGAGTAATTGCCCTTTGTTCGTTTTGCATTTCCTTATCTGGGGCATATCTCACATTCTGCTTCACCTACATTATATATCCAAATGTTGTATGTAGGTATCTATTGGGATGTGATAGTGTATGTAGGTATCTGTTGAGATGTGATAGTGTATGTTGTATGTAGGTATCTGTTGAGATGTGATAGTGTATGTAGGTATCTGTTGAGATGTGATAGTGTATGTTGTATGTAGGTATTTGTTGAGATGTGATAGTGTATGTAGGTATCTGTTGAGATGCGATAGTGTATGTTGTATGTAGGTATCTGTTGAGATGTGATAGTGTATGTTGTATGTAGGTATCTGTTGAGATGTGATAGTGTATGTTGTATGTAGGTATCTGTTGAGATGTGATAGTGTATGTTGTATGTAGGTATCTGTTGAGATGTGATAGTGTATGTTGTATGTAGGTATCTGTTGAGATGTGATAGTGTATGTTGTATGTAGGTATCTGTTGAGATGTGATGATAGTATGTTGTATCTGTTGAGATGTGATAGTGTATGTTGTATGTAGGTATCTGTTTGATGTGATAGATATGTGTATGTAGGTGTTGAGATGTGTTGTATGTAGGTATCTGTTGAGATGTGATAGTGTATGTTGTATGTAGGTATCTGTTGAGATGTGATAGTGTATGTTGTATGTAGGTATCTGTTGAGATGTGATAGTGTATGTTGTATGTAGGTATCTATTGAGATGTGATAGTGTATGTTGTATGTAGGTATCTGTTGAGATGTGATAGTGTATGTAGGTATCTGTTGAGATGTGATAGTGTATGTTGTATGTAGGTATCTGTTGAGATGTGATAGTGTATGTTGTATGTAGGTATCTGTTGAGATGTGATAGTGTATGTAGGTATCTGTTGGGATGTGATAGTGTATGTAGGTATCTGTTGGGATGTGATAGTGTATGTAGGTATCTGTTGAGATGTGATAGTGTATGTTGTATGTAGGTATCTGTTGAGATGTGATAGTGTATGTTGTATGTAGGATGTGATATGTATGTTGATAGATGTGATATGTGTATGTTGTATGTAGGTATCTGTTGGGATGTGATAGTGTATGTTGTATGTAGGTATCTGTTGAGATGTGATAGTGTATGTTGTATGTAGGTATCTGTTGGGATGTGATAGTGTATGTTGTATGTAGGTATCTGTTGGGATGTGATAGTGTATGTTGTATGTAGGTATCTGTTGATGTGATAGTGTATGTTGTATGTAGGTATGTGATATGTTGTATGTAGGTATCTGTTGGGATGTGATAGTGTATGTTGTATGTAGGTATCTGTTGGGATGTGATAGTGTATGTTGTATGTAGGTATCTGTTGGGATGTGATAGTGTATGTTGTATGTAGGTATCTGTTAGTGTATGTTGTATGTAGGTATCTGTTGGGATGTGATAGTGTATGTTGTATGTAGGTATCTGTTTAGATGTGATAGTGTATGTAGGTATCTGTTGGGATGTGATAGTGTATGTTGTATGTAGGTATCTGTTGGGATGTGATAGTGTATGTTGTATGTAGGTATCTGTTTAGATGTGATAGTGTATGTTGTATGTAGGTATCTGTTGAGATGTGATAGTGTATGTTGTATGTAGGTATCTGTTGGGATGTGATAGTGTATGTAGGTATCTGTTGAGATGTGATAGTGTATGTTGTATGTAGGTATCTGTTTAGATGTGATAGTGTATGTAGGTATCTGTTGGGATGTGATAGTGTATGTAGGTATCTGTTGAGATGTGATAGTGTATGTTGTATGTAGGTATCTGTTGGGATGTGATAGTGTATGTATGTGTATGTGTTGTTGTATGTAGGTATCTGTTGAGATGTGATAGTGTATGTAGGTATCTGTTAGTGTATGTAGTGTATGTATCTGTTTAGATGTGATAGTGTATGTATCTGTATGTAGGTATCTGTTGAGATGTGATAGTGTATGTTGTATGTAGGTATCTGTTGGGATGTGATAGTGTATGTAGATATCTGTTGGGATGTGATAGTGTATGTAGGTATCTGTTTAGATGTGATAGTGTATGTTGTATGTAGGTATCTGTTGGGATGTGATAGTGTATGTAGATATCTGTTTAGATGTGATAGTGTATGTAGATATCTGTTTAGATGTGATAGTGTATGTAGATATCTGTTGGGATGTGATAGTGTATGGTGCCTAGATGTGAGTTAATGGGCTGCTGTTAATTTTTGATAAGGTAGAGGTTTGTGTAGATTCGGTTGCATTGGTCAGCCTAACTGATGCTCCAGACCCAGTGCTTTTTGTGTCTCATTGTTGTAGTGTTGTTTTTCCTACCATAATACTTGACAACATGTTGTTGTTTAACTGCTAGGCATATGCTGAGGAGCCGTCCAGTTTGGACTACATTCAGCGATCAGAGTTGTATCCGAAAAAGTTACTTGTGACAGAAGATGCTGCTCTCCATGTACCTTTCCCACTCCTGAGCGGAGAAGCTGTGGAATTCCTTGGGCACATAGACGAAGGCGTGATCGCATTATCCAACTTCCGCCTCCTCATCCGCTTCAAGGACAGCTTCATCAATGTACCACTAGGGCTGGTGGAGAGCGTGGAATGTCGTGACATATTCTACCTTTATGTGTACTGTAAGGATGCTACAGTGGCTAGGTAAGTCGTCGATGATACAGATGTGACATTGAAGAATACATTTAACTTGTGGTGTTCTCACCTGTAACCATGTACATCATACACAGCTTATCTCTGATCATAGCCTCTGTAGCTCCATGTGTCTGAGTGAAAGTGGTACACTGTACACATGTCTGCCTTATCCAGGATCTGTATTAGCTCAGTCAGAGCATTGGCCTATGAAACTTAAGTGAAGATCTGAGGTTTGTAGTTTGAGGCTTCCAATTGACCCATGGTGGTTTGTTTTTTCTCAGGAAGCTGAGAAACAGACCAGTGTATGCCTGGGTGTGCCTTTTGGCAGAACACCATAGAAAGGCATGTGATGTGGCCACCAGCTACTACAAGGATGCCCAGCCTCAAAACGACCCTTGATTTTCATGGGCCAATAAACAAACTGAAAAATACCAAACAACCCTAATGGAAATAGATGTTCTACGGGATGGGAAACTGATCTTGTTATTTTGTCACTGGTTATGCAGCAGTTAGAGTTTAATGATTAAAAAACGGACACCATAATGAAAATAACAAATAGTGAAAGTCTTTAGGAATATGTTAAGGTCATCGTAATATTGAAAAAATACTTGTCACTCAGTGATGTAACTATGACTGTTTCTTGAGCATACCAAAACAATCCTGAGCATGACACTACAAACAGATGTGATATTTGTTTTGACTTCTATGTAATGCACATTGGCAGACAAATAATTTCTGTGTGAAATTCATTTCTGTCACAATTACTTATTATTTAAGCTGTTATATTCCATTTGAAAAAAATTACTCTTTTTGATTCTAGATGTGCATTCAGTAACAATGACAGCTGCCAGGTATGGTTCCGTCGTGTCAGTGATCGAGTGGCCCCACCCCAGGAACTCAAAAGTTATTTTGCTTTTGCCTTCCATGCCTGGTGTGTTGACGGCTATCCTGCGGGATCGGAGCTGGACCCCTGTTACCAGCTGTGTAAGCAAGGTACAGCTACCAAAGAAGGATTTTTGAATGGGATTCTTAGACAGTAATATTTGACACAGATGTATTGGGATGTAAAGGAAATAGGCACAGAATCTAAATCAGAAAAAAACAGAAAAAAAAAAGAAAATTAGAAAAATCTTTGGAAATATAATTTATCAGATGTTGAATTATGATGAGGAATTATTTACCTGGAATAATTGATCAGATCTCTATTTCATCTTCTTAGACTACAGTAAAAACTCACACAATATGCTTTTTTTCCTACCCTATAATCAAACAGAATGTAATTAGAAGTAATGACATGAAAAACAATTCTGAAGAGAATGCTTTCAAGTTTTGGATGTTCTATCATAGGTGTGATGTGTAAGCTGAACATTCTTAGATCGATTTCTTGGCTCCCGGAAATCAATTTTTGACTGAATTTTCGGGTGCACTCATTATGTCAGTAAGAGCATTTTATACTATCATCAGCTCCAAAAAGTAACTGGGCACATTACATGGGTTTTTTCGATAGCTGTATAATTCAATGAAGAATCAGCTCTACTGGTGCTGATGGGAAAAAACCCAGCTCATCAGGTGCTGACAGAAAAAGAGATGTGAAATGTTGGATGTCTCATTATGATGTTTGATGATTTTTTGTTTTTATTTTTCCAGATGAGAATTTTCACTTTTCATTTGGGAAAGAAGTGGACAGAATGAAGTTTAACTTGAAGAGTAAAACAGCGTGGAGGATCACCTACCTGAACGAGTCATTTGGGTAAGACTGATGGTGCAAACACACATTCTGTTGATGGCCACGCACTGATGTTTATCCTCTTTGAAGTACCTCGTGTGATAAACATGGTTGAGTATCGCTGGATGCTTGTATTTCTGTAATATCAACGATTAAATTTATTTATGGTGCCACAACTAAGTGGAATCTTTTACATGCTTGGAGATTAGATGGAGGGATCTCATCCTTAAGGAGAAGATTTAAAGTTGACACATGAGGCTTGCCATATGTTCAGCTACTAATAATCTTTCCCAGAGAGTTGAGATCCCCAGTATCATCCTCTCAATCTTATCCTATTTGCTGTCTTTGTGTTTGTAAGTTGTTGTTTCTCAAATCCTGGCTTTTTTTTTACAAGAGGTCATTGAACTGATGCTGGAACATAAAAAATGATTTTGTTTTTCAGAGTGTGTCGGTCATACCCAAAACACCACATTGTACCATCAGATATCACAGATGAACAGCTGAAGAAAGTGGCTAGTTTCCGCGCTCTTGCCCGCTTTCCGAGTGTGGTATGGAGGTAAGTGTTGAAATCGTTAATTTTGTTCATATCATATACACAGTGAAGCTCTGATAAAAAGTAGTGGAAAGCTGATATTCAATAAGAAAAAAAAAGTTTTTAAAGAAATTAAATTTGCCTTCAGTCAAAATGAAATGCAATTCTGGACAAAGAAATGCTTTCCAAACGTTTCAGAGATCAGCGTAATGGTGCAGTTTTGGTGCGCTGTAGTCAGCCGGAGGTCGGATGGCTAGGCTGGAGGAATCCAGAAGACGAAGCCTTGTTACGTGCCATCCCACTGGCATGTGCCCATAACCCAGGTTCATACCAGCGTAGTAACACAGTCCATGATGATTCTAGTACATCAGAGAGTGGGTCACAGAATGGGGGTAAGATTTCTACAATAAATTCTTTTCAAGATGATGTTTATCTCTGCAAAATTTTTCTTCGTTTGTTATTAAGATATTGAAGAAAGAAAATGTTTGCTGCAGATTCTTAAGACCTATGATTGCCCTCAATAGAAATTTCATCAAAGTAACAATTGTTGAAGATCCTCCTTCACATATGTGTAATTTTACTGGCTGATGTAATTTTACTGGTCAATGTAATTTTACTGGTGGATGTAATTTTACTGGTCAATGTAATTTTACTGGCTGATGTAATTTTACTGGTCAATGTAATTTTACTGGCTGATGTAATTTTACTGGTCAATGTAATTTTACTGGCTGATGTAATTTTACTGGTCAATGTAATTTTACTGGTCAATGTAATTTTACTGGCTCAATGGTGGATGTAATTTTACTGGCTGATGTAATTTTACTGGTCAATGTAATTTTACTGGTCAATGTAATTTTACTGGTGGATGTAATTTTACTGGTCAATGTAATTTTACTGGCTGATGTAATTTTACTGGCTGATGTAATTTTACTGGTGGATGTAATTTTACTGGTCAATGTAATTTTACTGGTGTATGTAATTTTACTGGTGGATGTAATTTTACTGGCTGATGTAATATTACTGGTCAATGTAATTTTACTGGTGGATGTAATTTTACTGGTCAATGTAATTTTACTGGTGGATGTAATTTTACTGGCTGATATCAAAATACTGGACTAAGTTAAAATAATATTACTGGCTGGTCAATGTAATTTTACTGGTGGATGTAATTTTACTGGTGGATGTAATTTTACTGGTGGATGTAATTTTACTGGCTGATGTAATTTTACTGGCTGATGTAATTTTACTGGTCAATGTAATTTTACTGGTGGATGTAATTTTACTGGCTGATGTAATTTTACTGGTGGATGTAATTTTACTGGCTGATGTAATTTTACTGGTGGATGTAATTTTACTGGCTGATGTAATTTTACTGGTGGATGTAATTTTACTGGCTGATGTAATTTTACTGGTCAATGTAATTTTACTGGTCAATGTAATTTTACTGGCTGATGTAATATTACTGGTGTATGTAATTTTACTGGTCAATGTAATTTTACTGGTCAATGTAATTTTACTGGTGGATGTAATTTTACTGGCTGATGTAATATTACTGGTCAATGTAATTTTACTGGTCAATGTAATTTTACTGGTCAATGTAATTTTACTGGTGGATGTAATTTTACTGGTCAATGTAATTTTACTGGCTGATGTAATTTTACTGGCTGATGTAATTTTACTGGATGTAATTTTACTGGTCAATGTAATTTTACTGGTGTATGTAATTTTACTGGTGGATGTAATTTTACTGGCTGATGTAATATTACTGGTCAATGTAATTTTACTGGTGGATGTAATTTTACTGGTCAATGTAATTTTACTGGTGGATGTAATTTTACTGGCTGATGTAATATTACTGGTCAATGTAATTTTACTGGTCAATGTAATTTTACTGGTGGATGTAATTTTACTGGCTGATGTAATTTTACTGGTCAATGTAATTTTACTGGCTGATGTAATTTTACTGGTCAATGTAATTTTACTGGTGGATGTAATTTTACTGGCTGATGTAATTTTACTGGCTGATGTAATTTTACTGGTGGATGTAATTTTACTGGTGTATGTAATTTTACTGGCTGATGTAATTTTACTGGTGGATGTAATTTTACTGGCTGATGTAATATTACTGGTGTATGTAATTTTACTGGTGGATGTAATTTTACTGGCTGATGTAATTTTACTGGTCAATGTAATTTTACTGGTCAATGTAATTTTACTGGCTGATGTAATATTACTGGTGTATGTAATTTTACTGGTGGATGTAATTTTACTGGCTGATGTAATTTTACTGGTGGATGTAATTTTACTGGCTGATGTAATTTTACTGGTCAATGTAATTTTACTGGTGGATGTAATTTTACTGGCTGATGTAATATTACTGGTGTATGTAATTTTACTGGTGGATGTAATTTTACTGGCTGATGTAATATTACTGGTGGATGTAATTTTACTGGCTGATGTAATTTTACTGGCTGATGTAATATTACTGGTCAATGCAATTTTACTGGTGGATGTAATTTTACTGGTGTATGTAATTTTACTGGTGGATGTAATTTTACTGGCTGATGTAATATTACTGGTGTATGTAATTTTACTGGTGGATGTAATTTTACTGGCTGATGTAATATTACTGGTGATGTAATTTTACTGGTGGATGTAATTTTACTGGCTGATGTAATATTACTGGTGGATGTAATTTTACTGGCTGATGTAATTTTACTGGCTGATGTAATATTACTGGTCAATGTAATTTTACTGGTGGATGTAATTTTACTGGTGGATGTAATTTTACTGGTCAATGTAATTTTACTGGCTGATGTAATTTTACTGGTGGATGTAATTTTACTGGCTGATGTAATATTACTGGTCAATGTAATTTTACTGGTGGATGTAATTTTACTGGTGGATGTAATTTTACTGGTCAATGTAATTTTACTGGCTGATGTAATTTTACTGGTGGATGTAATTTTACTGGTCAATGTAATTTTACTGGTGGATGTAATTTTACTGGTGGATGTAATTTTACTGGTCAATGTAATTTTACTGGCTGATGTAATTTTACTGGTGGATGTAATTTTACTGGCTGATGTAATTTTACTGGTGGATGTAATTTTACTGGCTGATGTAATTTTACTGGTCAATGTAATTTTACTGGTCAATGTAATTTTACTGGTCAATGTAATTTTACTGGTGGATGTAATTTTACTGGTGTATGTAATTTTACTGGTGGATGTAATTTTACTGGCTGATGTAATTTTACTGGCTGATGTAATTTTACTGGTCAATGTAATTTTACTGGTGGATGTAATTTTACTGGCTGATGTAATATTACTGGTCAATGTAATTTTACTGGTGGATGTAATTTTACTGGCTGATGTAATATTACTGGTCAGTGTCATTTTACTGGCTGATTTTATTTTACTGGTGGAGGTAATATTACTGGTCAATGTAATTTTACTGGTCAATGTCATTTTACTGGCTATTTTATTTTACTGGTGGAGGTAATATTACTGGTCAGTGTCATTTTACTGGTCAATGTCATTTTACTGGCTGATTATATTTTACCTGGGGATGTAATTTTACTGGTGGATGTAATTTTACTGACTGATGTAATTTTACTGGCTGTGACCTCCCTGTCAATTTTTCTGCAGATTGTGGTAAGGAAAACCTAGAAGGAGAAGACAAGAGGATGTTGGTGATTGACTGTCGATCTTACAGCGCTGCCTTTGCTAACAGGGCCAAGGGTGGGGGCCTCGAGTGCCCTGGTAAGTCATATTACTAGGTCTAGTAGTAAACTGGGCCAAGGGTGGGGGCCTCGAGTGCCCTGGTAAGTCATATTACTAGGTCTAGTAGTAAACTGGGCCAAGGGTGGGGGCCTCGAGTGCCCTGGTAAGTCATATTACTAGGTCTAGTAGTAAACTGGGCCAAGGGTGGGGGCCTCGAGTGCCCTGGTAAGTCATATTACTAGGTCTAGTAGTAAACTGGGCCAAGGGTGGGGGTCTCAGGTGCACTGGTAAGTCTTATTACTAGGTCTAGTAGTAAACTGGGCCAAGGGTGGGGGTCTCAGGTGCCCTGGTAAGTCATATTATTAGGTCTAGTAGTAAACTGGGCCAAGGATGGGGGCCTGCAGTGCCCTGGTAAGTCATATTACTAGATCTAGTAGTAAACTGGGCCAAGGGTGGGGGTCTCAGGTGCCCTGGTAAGTCATATTACTAGGTCTAGTAGTAAACTGGGCCAAGGGTGGGGGTCTCAGGTGCATTGGTAAGTCATATTACTAGGTCTAGTAGTAAACTGGGCCAAGGGTGGGGGTCTCAGGTGCACTGGTAAGTCATATTACTAGGTCTAGTAGTAAACTGGGCCAAGGGTGGGGGTCTCAGGTGCACTGGTAAGTCATATTACCAGGTCTAGTAGTAAACTGGGCCAAGGGTGGGGGCCTGGAGTGCCCTGGTAAGTCATATTACTAGGTCTAGTAGTAAACTGGGCCAAGGGTGGGGGTCTCAGGTGCACTGGTAAGTCATATTACTAGGTCTAGTAGTAAACTGGGCCAAGGGTGGGGGTCTCAGGTGCACTGGTAAGTCATATTACTAGGTCTAGTAGTAAACTGGGCCAAGGGTGGGGGTCTCGGGTGCCCTGGTAAGTCATATTACTAGGTCTAGTAGTAAACTGGGCCAAGGGTGGGGGTCTCAGGTGCACTGGTAAGTCATATTACCAGGTCTAGTAGTAAACTGGGCCAAGGGTGGGGGTCTCAGGTGCCCTGGTAAGTCATATTACTAGGTCTAGTAGTAAACTGGGCGAAGGGTGGGGGCCTGGAGTGCCCTGGTAAGTCATATTACTAGGTCTAGTAGTAAACTGGGCCAAGGATGGGGGTCTCAGGTGCACTGGTAAGTCATATTACTAGGTCTAGTAGTAAACTGGGCCAAGGGTGGGGGTCTCAGGTGCACTGGTAAGTCATATTACTAGGTCTAGTAGTAAACTGGGCCAAGGGTGGGGGTCTCAGGTGCACTGGTAAGTCATATTACCAGGTCTAGTAGTAAACTGGGCCAAGGGTGGGGGCCTCAGGTGCCCTGGTAAGTCATATTACTAGGTCTAGTAGTAAACTGGGCCAAGGGTGGGGGCCTGGAGTGCCCTGGTAAGTCATATTACTAGGTCTAGTAGTAAACTGGGCCAAGGGTGGGGGTCTCAGGTGCCCTGGTAAGTCATATTACTAGGTCTAGTAGTAAACTGGGCCAAGGGTGGGGGTCTCAGGTGCACTGGTAAGTCATATTACTAGGTCTAATAGTAAAACAGAATTAAGGGTGGGGTCTTGACTGCTGATATTAGTGATAGATTTGATTTGACCCACATGGATGGTATGTGTCTACTTAGTTAATGCATTTTATAAACATTTTATCACTGCAGGTGTACTACTGTAGGAAAAACAAATTATAGTAATGTGATAGAAATTCACTGGAAATTTATTTGAAATTTTATTTGAATAAATCACATACCAGAGAACTCAAGTGCTGTTAGCTCAGTCTGGTAATTATGGTATAATAAAGTTAAAAAAAATGCACCATTGTGAAGATTGAGTAGACTTTGGCTGAAAGCACTTTTCCATAGAGAACTTAAGTAAAAACTCATGTTTCCTAAAACGCTTCAGAAAAGTTGTAAAACTGGATTATTTGTAACTAGTAACTTGTTGCTTGTAAGTTCAGAAAGTTTTAATGTTAAATTAATGTTAATCTCTTTACTTCTATCAAGGAATGTCTGGAATGTTCCCCTCACATAACACTTTGCCTTGTCAGCACCACAGCATCTTCATGCCTGGAAGAATTTAAATCAAACTGCACACATTGATATAGGAAGATTATAACTCGGACAAATTTTAATTTCAGGGTCAAGGTCAAGGTCAGGGTCATTGTTATTTGTAGAAATTCTTGTTCAGCACTCTGGCAGTGTGATTTGCTAGAGGCATTTCAGTCAAATTTTACATTTTCACCTTTTTTTGCTGCCTAATTGCACATCAGTCATTGTTAAATCTAGAGGAGATTTGTATCTATTTAACGGGGTTTATATCCACTATTATAGCCTTTTGGCCTTTCAGCAGATGACGGGAGTTCAAGATTCCCTTTTATAGGTCCAAATTTTTTAACATTAGGAAATCATTAATTGAATTGACAGCAAAATGTAATTTCATGAAATATTCTCAGTGTTTTCCTGTTGTTCAATAAAAGAGAACTTATGACTTTGAGTATCTGTATTATTGGTTAGTTTTAGGACAAAGGAAGCAACGATTAGGAAATTCTTTTCGATTTTGTAAACAAAGTATACAACGCTAAATTTGAAAAGAAAAGAAAATGAATAACATTTGTGGTATTTGGAGCTCTTCAACTTTAGAGGTTTGGACTCAAGTCATTTACACTCTCCCCTTTAAGAAGACTTGTCTGCACTGCAAGGGTAAATAAGGTGAGTTTTTGTTGAAGGAAACAACAGATATTATGTACTTGTTTTCTTTTTTTCCAACAGAATATTACCCAAATTGTGAGATCCAGTTCATGAACCTGGCAAACATCCACTCCATCAGGAAAAGCTTCATCGCACTCCGGACTCTCTGTAGCAGTGGTCCAGACCAGGTCAAGTAAGTGTCAAAGGTCATACCGAGTATCAAGGGTCAAAGTTCATGTCAGGATAAGATGCCAAATTAAGGATCAGTGTTTTAGAGTCAGCGGACAAATTGTTTAAGGTCAGGGGATATGAGTTAAAAGGTCAAGTGGTCAGAGTTTTAGGGTCAGGGTTATTATCAAGTCACATTACATAGGTTTATATGGTAATAGGTGTCATAAAAAAAGTGAGACGGGGGGATTAAGTAACATAGTATGAGGTAGGTAATAAGAGAAATTTACCACATTACTTTGTAGACAAAACACTTCAAATTGTGTAGATATTTCATACAAATACCACATTTTAAGTGAGAGTGTAAGACTCTACTTTACCTTTCTGTCTATCTGTTACTTCATCTAGAAAGTTTGTCAGTACCCTAGCAGTTTCATTCCGTGACGGATTTTCATGAAACGTCACACATTTATTAAACATAAAATTATCCACAATACATTTGAGTTTCAGAGTTGTTGGTTCAAGATCAAGATTACTAATTATTAGAAAATTTATAAATTATCAAAAGTTTGTGGGGACCAATAGAGGATATGTATTGCTTCAGCAATACTCAGTATGCATGTTTCCATGACACTTGAGAAGATGAGAACTAATTCTGTTGTTGTAGCTGGTTGTCTGGACTGGAGACTTCCAAATGGCTCCTACACACATCGTGTCTAATGAAGACAGCCAATATAGTGGTCAGTTCTATCGACAAGGAGGGGCGTCCAGTCCTTGTCCACTGCTCAGACGGCTGGGATCGAACCCCGCAAATTATTTCCTTGGCAACTCTCCAACTAGACCCTTACTACAGAACAATGGAGGTAAGAATCATCACCTTTGTTTTCCCAAAAAATTGAAATAAAGTACTGATAAACAAAACATTAATTTTGTTTGGCCTTATAATGGTCTCCTGCATATTTTGTAGTATTTATTGCTGCAAGAGTTGCTAGATTTTATTTTATTTTTTTTTTTTTTTTTGTCCAGTGTTGAAGTCGCTTCAAAATACATTAAGACAGATTTGAGATTAAATGACAAGATATACCCGTGTACTTTTGTAGTCCTGATGGTGAAATGGGGAAGTAGATAAAATATAAATTTAGGCAAAAGTTTTAATTGTTTGGCCTGATAATTATTACCACCTCAACATTTTCTCTCCCTTTTGTAGGGTTTTCTTGTGTTGATTGAACGAGAGTGGCTGGACTTTGGTCACAAGTTTGCTGACCGCTGTGGAAATGGAATTGATATTGAGGACACTAACGAACGATGTCCCGTGTTCCTGCAGTGGATTGACTGTGTATACCAGCTTTATACACAGTTTCCCACAGCTTTCCAGTTCAATGAAGCCTATCTAGTAAGAAAATCACACATTTCTTTTTTAAGAAGCATTTAAAGTGATATCCAGCTGGACTGTGTTGATAGCATTAAATGATGGAATATTCCGGTGGGCTAAGAAATATAGAAGAAACCTTAAGTTTAATTTAAGTAATTGTCTTAGCAATCCAATGGGTACTAGGAGATGCATGGAAGTATGTTCTATTTGTTTTTGAATGAAATTGTAACAGTTGTGAGGATTTAAGTGTTAATTATGTACTCTTTGAATTTTGAATTTTTTAAATGTGTTTTTTAGGTGAAGCTGGTGCAACATACATATTCCTGTCTGTTCGGTACATTCCTCTGTAACACGACACAGGAGAGACAGAAGGAGGAGTTGGACAAACGCACTGCCTCTGTCTGGTCACTCCTTAATCTTAAAAACAAACGATTCCTCAATCACCTGTATTGTCCAACAATAGAACAGCAGGTACCTAGCATATTAACAAGATGTGTCTTCATCAAATAATACATTCACAAGAGATTTTCAAGGTCAATGTCATAGTAACTATTTATACAATAATCTAAAATAGGTCATCTGTTTACCATTTAGGAAGCGTGGGCATTGACGTCTTATGACATGTGGGAGTTATCTCCCTTCATACAAACCTTACAAGTGAACAGGTTCTTATAACGATCAATACCTTGTTTACACAACTGGGTATGTCCAATCAACCATGACATTAATAAACACTACTCACTAACTATTGAATGTAGGGGGAGCTGCTATCTCTGAAGTAAATATCGACTTGGTGCTTTACCACAATGAAGTCACCGGGGGCCAAATGGCTCGTAGAAATTCATGATTTCTTGAACAGTCATCCTGATATGTGATAAATGGATTTCTTAAAACTTGTATCAAGAAAGCTGTAGGAATACTAGAGAAATTATAGGCCTTCATATGTAAGTGTGTGATTTTGTTTGACCTGACATATACAGATCAGTTAGGCCTAGAATCTATGGCAGATCAGCTAGGCCTAGAATCTGCGGCAGACCAGCTAGGCGTAGAATCTGCGGCAGACCAGCTAGGCCTAGAATCTGCGGCAGACCAGCTAGGCCTAGAATCTGCGGCAGACCAGCTAGGCGTAGAATCTGCGGCAGACCAGTTAGGCCTAGAACCTGCGGCAGACCAGCTAGGCCTAGAATCTGCGGCAGACCAGCTAGGCGTAGAATCTGCGGCAGACCAGCTAGGCCTAGAATCTGCGGCAGACCAGCTAGGCCTAGAATCTGCGGCAGACCAGCTAGGCCTAGAATCTGCGGCAGACCAGCTAGGCCTAGAATCTGCGGCAGACCAGTTAGGCGTAGAATCTGCGGCAGACCAGTTTGGCCAAGAATCTGCGACAGACCAGCTAGGCCTAGAATCTACGGTCACCACTAATGATCCCAGATCAATTTATAGCTCATATAATGTACATACACAGTAGGAGATTAATATTCCTTGGGATTTTTTTCTCCTTGCCCCAAGGAAAATCACAAAATTTAGGTGTCACAATAATAACCAGATATACAGTATCCCTAATTACAGTAATAACATATTTGATGGATAAATTTGTTGTCACATACGTAAGTTTTAAGTTAGACTTACATATGAAAGCATTCAGCTTCTGTTCGTACCATGATGAATACTAAAAACAGCAGAAGTTCTTTCTCACTCCAATTTAATTTAACCTGAAGATTGTGATCAGAAATTTATCATTGAAAATTTCCACAGGTGCTGTATCCCTCATGTCATGTTAGAAGTGTTAAACTCTGGAGGGCAGTGTTCCTATCTAACAACTCCTCCTCCATGGGCCCAGAAGAAGGCTCCCTTGATAGACCCTCTCTTGTCACTGAGCCGGAACGCTCCAACTTGCAGAAGACGAGATCATGTGATAATTTAGCTGCTAATCATGACCAGGAAGTGACAGTTCTTGCAAGTCCAAGTCGTAGAAAAAGTGATCCCAACATTACATTGGACTTCGCAGATCAAAGTCTTCACTTCGCAGCCAAAGATATTGAGCAAAATTCAAGTTGTACTAGCATTCCTAATTCTATCAATAAAGAGGAGACAAATCAAGTCATTACAAACAGTGACACAGGTTTAGTAGAGAACGGACATGATGAATTATTTGACGACAGCAGGAATGATGATGTCATCAGTGAAATGCAAGGAAACGGAGGAAGGGATTCCACTGAGGACTATGAAAGTGTTAAAAATGATGGCAAGATGGAACTTCAAAATGGCGACAGCGGAGTAGAGGAGGAAGTGGATGACAAAGGGAAACATCTTTCACTGATAAACGGACAAGAAGTCAAAGAGAAACATTTGGCGACAAATGGATATACAGAAGGAACATTGACAGTGATTAGTGGTGAAAATGTGGTATGTAATGGTCTTAGTAATGGAATTGAGACTGAAGACAAAACATGTCAGACAATTAAGATAGAGAGTGGTGACAATTTAACAAATAAAACGGGGTCTCGTGAACTCGTAATAGAGAGTTCCACAGACACTTTATGCGAGGAAGAAAGTGAACACTGCCGGTGCAGCTCATCACGTTCTGCTGACCGACCACACAGTCAAGTGTCATCATGTAGTCAGGAAAATTTACACTGTGATAGTGACTGTAGGAGTAAAAAGCCTGTAACCAAAATTAAGTCGTTAGAGAGTTGCTCGAGTATTAGTACAAGTACAAGTGACATAAGTAACTCACATGTTCACATGGACTGCGTACGGCAGGCAGCTAACCTTCTACAGCTGCAGCAATGTCTCTTGTCACAGCCACCAGCACTGCGGCTCGACTGTGGCTCCAACGGCTGTGGCAAGCTGTCCAGTATTCCAAACGGAGGCTCTCATTCCCCTTCTACACAATTTCCGACTCCTGTTAGCTCGCAAACCCCAAACTCTACGTGCCCTCCAACACCTGGCACAGAAAACAAGGTAAACAGTGTTATTTTTTTTTTCATGAGTCAAAAATGAAGATTTCAATGAAGAAAAGAATTCATTCCAACAACTCAACATGTGTGATATTTAAAATGATAAAGATTTAGTCTTAAATGACCTCTACTGGTCAAGCAGTAAACACAGGAGGAAAAACACTGTCTTTATGATATAAAAGACAAATAAATGTCCATGTTGGATTTGTAAATTGTAAAATCAGATAGCGAATCCTGTTTAAATCAATTTTCTTAAATGATTTTATCCACTTCTGATTATCATAGTAATTGAATAACACATTTGAGTCGAACTTTTTTAACTGTTTCCTTTGTACCTTCAGTCAACAGAGGTTCCTTTACAACGCCATCTTAGCGGTATTGGCCGGCATCTCGACATAGACGGCTTAACAATTTTCCAGGAACCTGTTCAACAGAGAATGCGCCAAATCGAGAATGATTATGAGCGGCAAATTCACGCTTTAAAGTCACACCTGGCTAATGCCCAAGCCCTTTTGCTACAGCACGCGTCGGCTTGTAGTGGAGCAGGAAGGTGTGCTCTAGATCTGGCCAAAGATGACATGGTAAGGAATGAGATAATGCCTTCTTCTGATAATTAAATTGGGTATGTACAGATGTAATTTATGATATTTTGTATGAGAAATTTTGAAATTTCACCAACAATGACCTCGGATATATGTCTTTGTTTTAGTATGAACAAGAATTCTTTTTTCAAATTTGACCTTCCTTTGAATTCAAGTGTGATTTTAAAAGTTTTTCTTCTGAAAATGTAAACAACATGATTTTATTGTTTCAGTTGTTGCTTCCGGAAGCAACAGGATATGGAGATTTCCAGTCCCTAGGTGGGTGTAGTAATGCTGCATCTGATGCGAGTTGGGAACAAATTGATGACATGGAATCCAAATTGGTAAAGTGGGTCCCAGATCATGCTGTTACTCACTGTGGAAATTGTGATCTAAGCTTTGGTATGATTAACAGGAAGCACCACTGCTGGTAAATTTGAGTTCCAAGTAATTGCTGCAAGTTAGCTTTAAGTCCAGGAAAACTGATCCTGAAGTTTGATTGTTGGGTAGGATTAGTAACACACCAAACACGCCAAAACATGGTGCTGCCTAAGTACAGTTAGCTTTTGGAAAATGGTTTTTCTAGGGTGTAAATCATAACATATTTTGAAGTAAACCTTTACAGGTCTCATTTGGTAAATTTCCTTTGCAAAGAGATCATAACTCTCGTGTGGCAAGGAAAGAGTTATAGAATTAAGTCCCATAGGAATGAACAAATGGTTATTATTTGGCTGGTATGTTTCTAGGATGAAGCCCATCAAAGGCTGCAAAAAGAAATGACTTCAACTAATATTCAAGGTCGCAGGGGTCAGATTTGTTAAAACATTTAAACAATTTCTCATGAAGTAAAAAGCCTAGATCCATGATATTTGGATGGGTTGTTCCCAGAATGAAGCCCAACCAAGTTTGTGGAAAGAAATGACCTTGACCTAATTTCAAGATCTCAGGTGTCAAATTTATTGAAACGTTTTAATGACTTCTTCTCATGAATTAAAAGGCCTAGAGGCATGATGTTTGGTTGGTAGAAATATACCAGAAGAGCTCTGCAGGCCCATTGGGTCTCTTGTTTGTAAAGTAATTTGATTTTTATATGAACTTTTCAAAAGTTAATTGCTTTTTTTTATTAAAAAACTGTTAATTACTAATTATAGTTTATAGTAAAATATAATATTTCCACATATTTCTCAAATGGTCTGTTTTGCATATCAATTAGTGGCATATCGCTTCAAGTCATATCTACATGAACAAAACACAGGTATAGAACAAGTAAATTTGTCATTGGATTTTAATTGGTCATTGATTGTGGTACAAACAGGTCACATAAACTTTTGGTTGTAAATGCTGAAACTTTTTTAACTTTTGAATAAAAGAAATATGCAACATTCACGCATTGTATTACCTCTGTTATATATTTAACAGGAACTGCGGAAATATTTTCTGTCTTGATTGTACAAACTACTACACGTCGATTCCACAACAAAATCTCATGTCCCCGGAGCATGTTTGTCAGCGATGTTACAAGGTTCTGCGGTACCAGGGTGGGAGGAGTTCTCTGGAAAATGGAGTCATCGATGAACGACCAATGGCCGCAGCTGCCTCAAATTAACTGACAAAAAAAATTATGATAAAACTATTTACAGATGATTTCCTATCAATTCAAAATTGTCGTTGTTAATTCAAGGCGTATATGTATTGTTTTGTTGTTTAGACTTCTTGTTGTGTTAAAGGAGGAATATTTGAATGCAAGAGGTTTAGAAAAGTTCAGGATCTCAATGCGAGTAGACGCTGCAGTAATATTGATAAGTAAATGCTTATACATGTACTAGAAAAATATGGGATTTTGTGGAAATTTAAAACATGTAGAAATTTTGTTTCATTTTCTTCAGGAAGAATAAAGCAATTAACGTTTGAAAATATTTTGAGATTTAAAAAAAAAATAACAATTTATTATTTATTTAATATTTGTTCTATGTTTTTTTGTTTTTTGTTTTTTACATCTTTTTGAAAAGAATCATTATATCCACTGACTGAGAATGTTTAAACATAATTAGCATTTAATCCAATTAATCAAATCATATGAAATGTATATTATGTAGAAAATTAAAGGACGTTTAGAATGATGAGGTTATTTATCATTATCTCCACAATACACTTAAGTATTTAGATAAAAGTTAAATCGAGTTAAAAAATAGAGGTTGTTTTTGATTTGCAAATGATTTGAAAAATTCTCCAAAAATATCACTGAAAAACAGCGGGAAGCTGTTAAGATGTTGTAAAAAAAAATTGGATGTAGTAGTGTTTCATTGGTCCAAATATGGTCATTGTCCTTTTTTTATCAAGTCATTGAATACCAGTTATTTATGTGACCAAATTTATTATTTGTTCGATGAATAAGATTATTACTTGATAAAAACTATGAACATGTTAATGTCATATTAGAATCTGTTTTGTTGAGCAGTCAAATTTTGTTACTTAAATTCTGCTATGTTTTAATCAGAGAGGGAGTCAATGCTTGGCTTCAACATTTTTTGGAAACATTTGAAAGATTTTTAATTTATATTTAATTTTTTAATTTCATGTTTCCTGAAACAAATTCTTCAGTGTTGGATTACCTCCCTTCTCTTGAACCGCAGATAATTTTATAATGCTTTGCCTTGAAATAAGGACGGTACTGGATTACTTCCCTTTTAAAATTTTACAGAGAAAGAGAGAGAAAAAGACAAGAGACAAGAGAGAGAGATAAGTGAGAGAGAGAGAAAGACGAGAGAGAGAATAGTGAAATACTACAGCAGGTAGATTTTATTTTCTTCAATAAGCTTCACTTTTGCTATCACAGCAGTTTGGCCTTTCAAGCAAACCTACAGTTAACTACAACTCAACACATTTCATCATGAAACATTGTCAATCTTTTTAGAACTTTGACACAATTTTAAACTTCATAGAAAAATCAATCTAAGAAGTTTATACTTGTGAAAGAAGTGAACTTTCAGGTTCTGATTGTCAACTTTTTGTAAAATAACCATTATTCAGATCTAAGAAATAGGCAGGCAAATCAAAACAGGCAAAATTAACAGAAAAACTACGTGATTTTTCATCGCATCAAAATATCCCCTAGACAAAAATTTGATACCATTTTGAGTTGAAGGAAATTTTTTTTTGAAGAAACAATTAATCAAGCTCAGTCATAATTAATAGTTTAATTGAAATTTAATTCAAATGTTTATGAGTCAAATATACATGTACTTGATTAAGAAAAAAAAGTTAAAGTGCAAAATTTGGGAATTAAATATGATTGTCAGATTTTTTTGCTAAGAGGAGGTAATCTGTATGACAATGTGTTTGATTCATCAGGAATTAAAGTAATCGCTGATAATTTTTAAGATTATGTTTGAATGATAATTTTCATTTACCTGCTCGCCAAAAGATTCAGTCTTAGTCTTGCAATGACCAAGAGAAGCGTATGATTTGACAATCAAAATTATCACTTTGACAGCCAATTTGCAGAATTCGTAAAACGTTTTGTTTTCATTATGTCCTACTATTGTTATTAGGGGCATATATGGTTACCAATGTCTGCCCTGTCATGTCTTGTCTCGTATTGGTATGAAACAATATCATATCTTGCAAACTTCTCTACAGATTTGGTTCATATTTACTCCCTAATATCACAACATTAAGTTCTTAAGTTTCTTATTAAGGTGGTCATCAGTCAAGGTTAAAGGGTCAAAGGTCACATTTGAAAACTTCTGCAATTTCATCAGTGATACTTACCTTTTTTGCAGCGGAGGCATTCATATCCTACAGATGTTTCTCCGTAGAACCAAAATTTTGAAAAGGAACAACTTGTCAATATATTTTTTAAAATAGAAATGCTGTTATCGATCCAGAGATTTCTTTTATTCGCCTCTTGTTCACTTAAGAGATAAGGGGTTAGAATGATTATAATTTCATTGGTAAACAGGGGAACTAAACACTCAAAGACGTATTTCAAGCTTCCCTTTTTATAGCAACTAATTTCCCCACTTCATGGATGTTGGATATTGTTTAAACTGTAAGGGAAATCGCAGTGATTACTACTGCTATTTGAAAGGAACATCCCTGAGATTACTTCTGATCTTTTTTTTTTCTCGAGATCTTCTGCAGCAAGAGAAGTCATTCCTCTTTAAACCCTCTTTAAAGAAAGTTTTTGTCATTTTTAGAATTTAAGTTATTTTTGTTTTCATTGATGAATATTATTTTGGAGTTTAAATGTGACTGTACTCTGAGAGTACTGAGAATAAAGAAACAAATAGGGCAAAAACATATATCTGTTAATTAAGATAAATCAAAATTGTGTGTTTGTTAGGATTGAGTGTATATGGATTTTCTTTCCATTTTTTTTTTTTGTTCTCTGCAATCCTTTGCTTCAAAACAAATACATCTATAACAATAGAAAAATAAAAAAAAAATTAAAAATCAAGGTCAGTTTAAAAATATCTGCCTATATTTATGGTATGTTTTTGAAAATAAACTCAAATTGATCAGATATGTTTCCAAACAAAGACTTATTTATTTATCACTGATAAACAAGTCAAAACAAGGCTGTACAAGACTTTACAGATATAAATTGCTTACTTTTAAACATTTGTATAAATCATTTTTTGACCTTTGAAACAATAGTATTGCTAGGTCGTATGGTGAGTCATTTGGTCAATTTTGGTCTTGGCTATGTATTTTGGTTTTAGTCTGTCCAGTACTGACTTTTTGACTAAAAAGATCATAGCTTGTAATGAAGAAAAAGATAAAAATGATAATTATGATGAATTTATCATCAAGGTCAAAGTAAAAATGATAATTTTTGAGGTCAACTTAATTTATGAGGGAAAGGTAGAAAGGACACAAGACACAACATTTATAACCTTATTACAGTTCAAGATCATTGGCCATGCTCAATGAAAATAGGTTGCTCAATCCGAATCTATAACTGAAGCAGAATAGCCCTATCCTATATAGACCTAACTATCTGGATACTCCAGTTGTCGATTGTCATTATATTACTGAATTGTTGGTTTGCTGGGAATTCAATTTTGCTATATTTAAGGTTATGAAAGATAACACGAAATTAGATTTCCCAACAAATCAAAATATCAGAACCTATTTGCAATTTCTGTTTAAATTTATCAGAATTGAAACAGAAATGCAGATTACTGTGAAACTGGACAGCAACTAAATCAATATATGCCCTGTGAAATCATACCACTAGACAGTATTATAATCTTGTTTTTTTCTTTTTTGGTTAGCTGGTGATCATAATTGTAATTCTTTTAAATTTAACATGTCTTTAACAATCGAAAAAATACCTATACATTAATGGTCAGTCGTTTTCATCGGCAGAATTTTTAAAAATTCTTATATAACAACAATGTGTACCTATATTCTAAATAGTTGAAAACATAAACATTCTTATCATTTGTTTTTTTAAGGAAATAAGGCAGAGATTGTTACGTTTTCTGTTTTGTGGTTTGTACGTGATGAATCTTGCTCAAATGTGGTATTGTTTGTTTTTACAATTTCTTTTGCACTGGTGATTGTTGAGAGATCATATAACCCTTGGATGCGAGTGTGGCGATGATGGTGGTATATTTGTTTAATAGGATATCACTGTATTGAAATTTTTTAAAGATATGCTAAAACAATTGAAATTCCATTTGAAGCGGATAAAAATTTCCAATTTAAGTAAATAGAAACAAGATAAATGATATTTATGTTTATGAATCTGAGTGAAGATTTTCATTTTTTGGAATAACTTTTTTTGTGCTAGTGTCAAGTATTATAATAAGTGGTACCATAAGTGAAGATGTTAACAGGTAGGGAATTGTCTTTATGTTAAACCCTAGAAACAAGAATTGTTTATTTTATAAATCAAAATTTCAAAGTTACATATGTATATATATGTTTCAGAATTGATTATAAATTTGTATTCTCTACTTTCAATACTAATTTGCCATGAAGAAGGTTTGTTATATATTCAAGCTAAATGTCATGAAAATTCTATAAAATTACAGAATTAATATAATATATTGTTTTCAAAAATATTAAATTCAGATTAATGTTGACTCTCATATCTCAGATATTATAAGTTTATAATTGACCAATTCTAAATCCTTTTCAAAAGTTTGTCTTTAAACAGTACATGGTTTGGGTAAAAGCTTAGACAGTGTAAATACAATGAAGCATAGACCCTTGCTTTGCGTGATGTGTGACATATTGTGTGACATGTGACATATTGTGCGACATGTGACATGTTGTGTGGCATGTGACATGTTGTGTGACATATTGTGTGACATGTGACATATTGTGTGACATGTGACATGTTGTGTGATAAGCATGGCCTGAAAGCCTGGTGAGATCTGCTGCATGGACTGGTTAGGTGTATTGTTTTATAATAAGTTTCCTTGCACACTTAAATAAGCTTCAATTATTTTACTTATTTTTCAATGTAGCACATTTGCTTTTAACAGGTGTTAATTCATTTTTTTATTTTATACATTAGACAAGAAAAATCACAACTTTTATTGAGAATTAAAAGGCAATTTCCAATTTATCAGTTAATTGCAATTTCTCATTTTTGCCTCAATGATATTAGTGTATTTCTTAGTTGTTACATTTATGTTGCATTTGAGGTAATAATTCCATTGTTCAGTAAGATCAAGCGTTTAGAATCTGCTAACAGGTGCTGCAAAATTGCTTTGTAGGTGGCTTGGGTCCTTGTTTAAATTGGAAAGAAAGAAATTTCTTTCATTAATGTGATCACATCTAGTCTGTTTAAAATTTTTGCTGTCTTTAATACTTGATGTTTATGAATAATTTGCAGAGATGAAGTTTGATGGTCCTTATAATGAATATATAACCCTCTTTATA